ACCCAGCTGAGGTTTGATTATGGCCAAAGAAAGCGATTCCCCCACCTTTCTGCATCCATCTTCCCCAAAATTCCCCTCAGGGCACTGGTTGGCCATCATTAGCCTTCTCCTTGCCAAGCTCAGCAGTGCCCTGGGCGTCAGGTCCTGCCCCAGCCTGGGCTGTTATGTGGGGTTGCCCAATCCCAGATGGAAGATTTGGCATTTTCCCATAGGAAAACAGGGGGTTATACTGAGCCTTGCACAGACACCATGTCTAAACAGGGAATTTCCTGAACTGAACAAGGTTGGATGCTTTGAGTGTAGTGGAGGGTGGGAAGGCAGGTGATCCAGACTGTCCTTGTCCTAATAATTTTCCCAAGGCCTATCCTACTGTTGGAAAAGGAATTGTGGGTTGAATAAATCCCTTTAATTTCAAAAGGAAGAATATGGCAAAGGTCTGCAAAATCCCAGCTGGCCTGCAGAGGGTGAATAGGGATAATCACTCCTTCTCCTTCCTAATGCAAGGATTAGCCAGGGCCTAAAGAGCTCAGCAGATGGCAGGTTTACAAGAGTGAAGGGAGACACTTCTTTACCTAAAAAATAATGAAATCCTTGAGCTTGGGGTGGCAGAGTGGGAAAAACTTAAATAGGGTGGAAGGAGAGCACGGGTTGGAGGTTATGAAACACTCCAAGGCCACTTTGGGTCTCTGAACCTTTAGTTGGTGGGACAAGGAAGGATCCCACAACAGGTTTGTTGGCCTGTCTGTGTAAGAATCCACCACTGCTCTGTGTTCCAGGCAGGATCCTGGGCTGGATCATCTCCCAGTCTGACGTGGTCGATGTTCCATTGTCATCAGGAGGTGGAAGAGGTGGCAGGACTCCCGTGGGCACGAGGGACACGGTGGGTTTGCTGAGCTGCCCCTGCAAATCCCCAGCACTTACCCATCAGCCAAACCTATTTGAGAAGTGCTGAGCTCAGGCAGTGGGGGGATTGAGGTTTTTTGGGGGGAGACACCCAGGCTTCTTGGTACCTCTCTACCTGAGCCCGCCTGGCTTTGCTCAACATCGGTATCAAAAACCTACAGATCCCACCTGGGGGGGTTTGTCAAAACTGCCTCTTCTCCCCAGATCACTCTGCCCGAATTCCTGGATGAATTTCCCTTGCACAGGGAGCGGAATAAAAAGCTGATTTGTGACCTACTCATTTTCTGCCTGAATTAGTTCAATTTTCTCCGCCCGAGGCTCCTCATTCTTCTCCACTGTGTTGCTGTTGCCCTGCTGGGACTCCCTCATTGTCCAAGAAAACTTCCTCTTCTCCTCCTAAATTGATGATTTTCTCCCTGGGCTCACATTTTTGCCTAAACAGGGACTCTTTTAGAGCTAATTTCTCTTCAACCTCACACAGTTTTTTAGCGCACGTGCTAAAATCGGTTTCAAAATGGCTCAGATTTATTTTAAGCCAGGTTTGTTGGGTTTTTTTGTTTGTTTTTGCAGATGCCAAATGCATTGATTCCTGTCTGATTAAAATAATAAAAAACCAAACCCCACAGAGTATTTTCAGCATGATTTAGTGGCTCATCAACAAGGATCTTGACTGGCTTAACTAAATGGTTGGTGCTCACTCGTGCGTGGAAAAGGCCTTGGTGTCTTTGCATGCACATTATTTTATCCAACCTAAACACAATTTAATCTTGGGGAGATAAAAAGCAAGAGTTTAGGCTGATGTTCAAAATTTGAGTCAATAACTACTGGGAAAAATCCTGCAAGCCATCTCATTATTTTTTGAGCAAAATGTTTGGTTTCAGTGAAGCTGTTGTGTTTAAATACTCCTGGGTGCAAACTCTTGGAATGGTTTCTTGGAAGACAGCTTTTCTTTTAAATGTTTCTACAGCTAAAAATGAAAATATAAGGGAAAAAATTGTCAGATGAGCCTTGAGTGTAACAAAACATTCAATTCCAAGTCAAAGAAAACATTGGGAGTTTTTTAGACAAATAAATCATTTTGCTCGATTCCTTGCTTAGAAGAATTTTGGGTTTGGGATCATCCAGAGTCATATTTTTTTCCCTTACTGTTTTTATTCTGGAAGAACCATCAAACCAGAAAAAACAATATTTGTCTGATTTAATTTGAAAAGCTCAAACACTGTTTCATGGCTCTTTTGCAGAACAGTTTTAAGCAGCGCTAGAAATACCATCAACATAGGGATGTTAAGTGGAATTAAACAAGATTATAATTGTTGAAGGCACTTTTAGAATTCCTAACACAGAAAATAAGTAAAATGGTGCCACTCTGACCTCAGGCATATAAATAAACACACTGCAGCAGGACAACCAGCTTGGATGTGAGATGGGCTGGCCTGGGGCTCTCACATCCCGAGGAGACAGTTGGAATTAGCAGCTGGTTAGTTCTAATCCAGACAGCTCTGTCAAAAGGGCACTGAGGGCTCCGTGGCAGGGAAGGAGCTGCAGGAGCCGAGGGAGGAAATCGGACCCTGCAGGAGCTTCGTGTCCCTGTGGCAGGAACAGAACCAGCAACAGCAACAGCTGCTGCCAAGATGCTGTGTCAGAGGGGGTGATGGCCCGCAGCGTTTTGGGGAGGAAAGGGGTTGTTTTTGTTGAGCAGGCCCTTTGAGACGGGCAGTCTGACCATTCCCTGGAGATGGGGAGTGTGGGGGCTCGGAAGCAGAAGCGTCAGGAGAAGTTGCAACCGTGGTGAGCAGTAAGTGCACTGAGGGGAACACACAGCGCCGAGGGAAAGCAGAGAGGTGGTGCAGAACAAGCTCATGTGGAACCAGGAGGGTGTGTCGTGCCTTCTCCCATCTCGTTGTGTCTGTGGGGTCTGTGGTCTGGGGGGTGCAGGACCACAGGACATCCCAGGGGCACCACTTGGGTTTGGCTGGGCAACAACATCCGTCTTGGGCAGAGTGGTAGAGGACAGGTCCTTGCTGCTGGTGTGACTGGATGTTGTGCTGCTCCTGGACAGGGACAGCAGCCTCTGAGCAGCAGGGAAAAGGGACTGAACGTGGCTGCTGTGCCTTCAGCAAACAGCCTGGTCCAGGAAAACCCAACACTGACACATAACGATAGGTAACAAACCATGGGAGAAAGATGAGTAGAAAGCTGTGAAAAGCCTTAGTAAAATCACTCACTCCTCTTCAAAGAGCTCCTGCCTGGAACAGCAGGTGAAGCAGGGCTCCAGCTACACCCTTAGGATCACTCCTGATTATGTGCTCCTTCAAATCTCTTTGCTGTCTGGTCTTTAAGTATCTCCCGCTGGAGACCCACACAACAGCTACAACCTCCCCTGCTCCTCCCACATGCAATTCTGACTCTGTGTCAGGACAGGAGTCTGGAGAATATCTGGACACATTGCAGTCCCTGTGTCCAACCTCCCTGCTGTGAATTACCAGTCTAAACTGGAGATCTTTCTAGAAAAAGCAAGTGTAAAATCAGACAGGATGGAAATGGCTGGTGAAAAGAGGAGAAGTGAGAGCACAGAAGTTAAACCAGCACTCAGCCAAGACATCCAACACTCATCTTAGATATGGATTAAGGCATCACACTTGTATTTTTGCCAGAGATAGGACTCCCACCACTCACACACTCTTGCTTGATAAAGAAAATCTGGAGGGAGGGGAGGTCTAGAAACAACTTTCCCTCAGCCTCTGAACAGTCTGGTTTTGACAAGAAAACCCAGGACAGGAGACATTCAACAACTGGAGCACAAATCATCTCCCCTGGAAGTGTCCAAGGCCAGGTTGGACGGGGCTTGGAGCAACCTGGGCTAGTGGAAGGTGTCCCTGCCCATGGCAGGAGGTGGAACGAGATGGTCTTTAAGGTCCCTCCCAACCCAAACCATTCCATGATTCCATGATTCAGTGATCAAACAGGCAGAGGTTTGTGGGGCTGTCAGGTTGACACAACAAGGTTGGCCATGAGCAAAGAGGATCTGCAGGAAGACAAGTCCCACCACCACATAAA